GTAGTACAGAACAGCAAAGTTTGCTCTCCATTCTTCATCCATCCATCCAACATGTTAATGTGTGATGAGCATGATAGCCTCATGGGGTCACTAGTGCACCTACAGACTTTAAATGTAACTCTGAAACACACAAGAAATAAAGATGGTGCTGATGCTTTGCTCTCTGTGGTTTGTTTAAAACTATAAGCACTTCAGGCCCCGGCAGTTTTCTGCCATTTGTGATTCAGTGTTACCTTTTTGATGAGCCAAGGTGTGGAGAATTGAGAATCTGGAGCTTGTCCCTGTGGACCCTGAATGGTACGGATACTTCTACGGAGGGGACTGCTACCTTATCCTCTACACCTACTTGGTTAACAACAAGAAGTGTTACCTGCTCTATATATGGCAGGTGAGGATTTGCCGTAACACCCAGTGTCTTACATAATAATAATAATAATAATAATAATAATAATAATATAAGATCATACACTGAAACATAAAGTTAATTACAAGGTTGCTTATAAAATAGTCAATCCCTCACTGTCCCTGCATTGGATTTTTCTGATTATCTCTGTATTATAGGATGAAATTTACTTCACCACATATTATTTCAGGGGCGACATGTGACACAGGATGAACTGGCAGCCTCAGCTTTTCAGGCTGTGGACTTGGATCAGAAGTACGGTGGTGAGCCGGTTCAAGTGAGAATAACGATGGGCAAAGAACCAAGACACTTTATGGCAATTTTCAAGGGTAAAATGGTCATCTTCGAGGTACGACTGTATTTATAATCACTTCACTTTAACATTCTGTTTACTTTATTATTTCTACAGGCTTTTCAATAAGAGGATTATATTCTCTACTGGCAGGTGTTTACAGTTTTTATGACAGTACAGAAGATTTTCTCTTTCTTCTGTTAGGGGGGCACGTCTAGAAAGGGGTCTTCTGATCCAGAACCACCGATAAGGTTGTTCCAGGTCCACGGTTCTGACCCATCCAACACAAAAGCCATCGAGGTTTCAGCGCTGGCAACCTCTCTCAACTCCAATGATGTGTTTTTACTAAGAAGCCAATCAGGAATGTATCTGTGGTGTGGAAAGGTAAAGATTTTAACATCGGATAGAGAAACTGAACCAACAATAGAATACGATACTTTTTGTATTTTATGTATTTGAGTATGTCAACATTTGTGTATCTGCAATTACAGAAAGGTATATGTATGTATATGTATATATACATATAAAAAATACTGGCCAAAAGTATTTAGAAACTTTTGTACACTTCTTGTTTTCATTTTTTTTTAACTACGCACCTCAGTTCCATTTAAACCTTAATGCTCCAGAGTACAATGATGCTTTACACAACAGTTTGGAGAAGACCTTTTTCTGTGTCAACATGACAATACCCTGAGAATTAACCTATATAGAGCCCCGACCTCAGCCCCATCAGACACCTTCGGGATGGATTGAGCTAGGCCTTATCGCCCAGCATCAGTACCTGACCTCACTGATGCTCTTGGGGCTGAATGGGAACAAATCCCTGCTGCTAGGATCAAAAATCCACTGGAAAAGTCTTCCCAGAAGAATGGAGAATATATTGTTCATCAATTGTATATGGAGTGTAATGTCTGGGTGTCCACATACTTTTGACCATAAAGTGTACTATACCAAGACAGGAAGGACCTGGTTCAAGCCTGTCTGGCAGCAAACATCTGCCCTGTTGAAGTTTTCTTGGGTCAAACTATTTTGATCAAATTAGATCGTAATGTCCATGACAACATAGCTCACAGCTTTTTGTCGCCAGGGATCGAGTGGAGATGAGAGAGCCATGGCGAAGGAGGTGAGCTCTGTGATTGCCCAGAACTCCCAGAGAGGCTCTGAGGAGATTGTGGCAGAGGGTCAGGAACCCATTGAATTCTGGGAGTTGCTTGGAGGGAAAGCTCCCTACGCCAGTGACAAGAGGTGATGATGACACAAATATGATGCTAATATTTACAAATGAGCTTTGTGAGTGTTACAGTGAGGGTAACGCACTTGTTGACTGCAGATTACAGCAGACAGTTTCAGATCACCATCCACGCCTGTTTGAATGCTCAAATAAGACGGGCTGCTTCATTGTGACCGAGGTGACTCAGTTCACACAGGACGACCTCTATGAGGATGATATCATGCTGCTGGACACATGGGACCAGGTACAAGGTGTTTGTGATGAATATATGTATATATATATATATATATATATATACATATATATATATATATATATATATATTCATACTGCCATTTTACTTAGGTAAATCATAAATGAGTTAAATCCATTCAGCCTTTTTCTTATTGTTGGTTTCAGCTGTTTCTCTGGATCGGTAAAAATGCCAATGAGGTAGAGCGTAAAGAAGCGGTGGTCACGAGCCAAGAGTACCTGCGCACCCACCCGGGGACCAGAGACCCAGACACCCCCATCGTCATGATCAAGCAAGGATTTGAGCCGCCCACCTTCACTGGGTGGTTCACAGCCTGGGACCCCTCCAAATGGAGCGTGAGTGTTTGGAAATAGAGCATCAACGTGTACATTGATGAGTGACAAACATACACTGACTAACATTTCCTTCTTGTAGGGAGGAAAGAGCTACGAGGACTTGAAGAAGGAGTTGGGAGATGAAGTGTCACCTGTTAATGTTCCAACTGTAACTGTAAGTCATTTTCATTTTTTGAGCTTTTTGGGGAACAGACATTGTGTCTGATACAGTGGTTGGCAACATTTTACTGTTCTTCTTCATGCACAGGTTACATTTGGGATAATTGATAAGTTAATTAGATTATATATATGTGTGTAATTTACTGCCACTGTCAGTCACTGTACTAGAGCTCCACAGCCCACCAGACTGCATTTACAAAAACACTAAATTTACCTTGCAGACACAAACTGGATAAAACTCACCAAAACCATCTTTGTTAGTCTTTCCACTGCTGTTGTCAAACATTGAATATGTATAAGAAGTCAGACAACAGTAGTCAAAAACTTGCATTAATAAAGTACTCTACTTATATATCTCCCATCCTCCTACCAACACTTGACAATGTGTTTTAAGAGTCAATTCAAAGCCACAACAATAAGTGATATATTGATTAAAATATAATACATCAATGAAGAATCTTAACCAGAACTTTAATGTGACTTTATAGGAGTCGAACTGTGTCGACAGTGAGAGAATCTTTCAGTGTTTTCCACCCGACGCTTTGGTCAACAAGCTTGCCAGCGAACTGCCTGAAGGTGTTGACCCAACAAATAAAGAAGTAAGTGTGTGTGTGTGTGTTTTGTTATTTTATAGAGTGAAATATAGCCCTCTACTAACAGAAGGTGATATACTGTATAACTTGTGGAAAATAGCACACACTCTATCAAAGTGAAGCTTTATTTGGAGCTTTTAAACGTTCACTATGTAACAATCAAAAAGTAAAAGAAAGCAGTTCCCTCCAAATGCCACATGAAATTATCCAGAGTGGAAATTATGAATTTGGTAGCACTCCATTTTTGGAGGAATTTTCTTCAAAGAAAAGCTCAGTTTAAAACCAAGAAAAGATTAGTTAATTATATTTTTTGTTGGAAACCTTCATATGTTCATATTTTGAATTGTAAGCCATCTGTGTAGCTATGCTTAGCCAACCAGCTGTCTCTATTTTCCCTATAATTAGTATGAAATTACGTAGTTGGGAAATTATGGACCCATAAAATTAAATTTTAGCATTATTTTTCTCTCAAGTCTTCAAGTTCAGTTATTTTTCAAGAGTCACTCATTTATTAACAGTTACCTTGTTTGAACCATGATGCTTTGCTGCTGTATAGTATCAGTGATAAGATGTTTATCTTGTAGAGCAGATGTGTTCAACACCAACTCAAGTAAAAGAATACTGCCTTGTTGCTCATTTGTTATCAGAAACACCTCTCTGACTCTGACTTCAACGACGTGTTTGGAATCACCAAAGACGACTTTGCTAGTCTGCCGCGGTGGAAACAACTGAGCATGAAGAAAGAAAAGAGGATGTTTTGATTATATATTTTCTGTACTTTGTACACTTTTACTGTTAAAAGACAACAGGAGGTCTCTCTTTGTCTCTCTACAATTACTGACTTTCCACTTTGGCTCAATCTCCTTATTGAAGACAGGACTAATGTTTGTGTCTTCTCCTTATTGTGAGTCATACTGTTGTTTCAAACCCCTGTAATACAAGTCTTAAATACTTCATTATTTACTTTATATTTGACACCATTTGATGAAGAGGTCTTGGGGTAATATTATGTGTACTGTCAGTTTGAGACATTATAAACTGTATCGCTCATTCTGCTGTGTGTGTTTCTGTGAAAAAACATCATCTCCTCCACACTGAGACATCAGATTAATCCTATGATGAAGAATTTATATCCCTGGTGAAAGTGAATACAAACTTATATGATAAAAGACCAATTAGACATTAAAAACTATTTATGAATACCAGAGCTGTAAATGGGTAAAATACATGTAGTTCAAACTCAGTGTAACAAACATTGATGTAACTTTCATTAACTCTGAGCTCACTCATCACAAGACATATGTTGCCATCTGTTGGACAAATAATGTAATAGCAGGTCAGGCCAAAATATTTTAGGCAAAAGAATGAAAAACTTGTTCAATTATCTCGAAAAGAGAGGAAGTGACATTTGATTTCAAGTTCATATCCAAACCCTTTAGTGACCACCAAAATTCTCCTGATTTTTAGCATCATAACTGTCCAGATCTCTGCCTTTAAGTGAAAAACTCAAAATAAATAGAGTAACTAAACTAAACTAGACCCAGAAGTCAGCTTAACTGTTCACCCAGTTACTTCACTAACATCTTTGAAACAGAAGCCGAAGAGGAGTCTTAATGAATTTCTCCCACATCCCTGCATTTGTTTCAGGTAGTTGGTATTAAATGTCGGGTGATTCCTTTATTACTGCAGTCATGAATATTTCAAATGTAAGTCAAAACAAATGACCAGTCAGTGTCAGCGTTATTCACTCCTTTTATTTTGATATGTCTGGAATGTAATTTCACTTACAAGTATAAATTCATTTACAGTTACAGCTGAACATTTAATACAAAGCTCAGGACAAGTCAAAAATATCTAGACCCATTAAACACATCAAATTACAGTAAGAACATATTTTTTGCATTGTTGTATGAAAATGAAACACAAAAATGTAAATCTAATTACTTGATGAACTGTCAAAAAGTCACTTATGAAAATAAGGCTGAACAGCACCAGTGATATTGTGACAATGAAGAAAGCTTAAATCGATTGATTAAACATTTGAAGTCAGAGTAACAAACCGATTTCCCATCAGGTTCTGATCTCACAGGAAAATAAAAAAACTGTTGAATAAACAACATAGACAACCAATGATTGTTGATGTTCATGTACAAATATCTGACCACCGCTGGTTGCAAATTGTTCAAGAATTGACAACAGTACTACAGTAACAGTACTACAGTAACAGCATTACAGTAACAGTACTACAGTAACAGTACTACAGTAACAGTACTACAGTAACAGCATTACAGTAACAGCATTACAGTAACCGTACTACAGTAGCAGTTAATAGGCTCATTTTGTGGAAGAAAAAGCATCTATCTGAGCTGCTTGTGCTCATGGCAGCCATCACAAAAGATAATAAGTATTAGCATGTGTGCCAGCATTATGTCTAAAATAGGCCTGTGTGATAGAAGTAATACAAAAAAAAGACAAATGAGTAAATACAAACATTAATATGCTGCCATAAACCCATTGCTACTTTTCAATTGTCCATAAATCTGTTCATATTGTTCCTCTTTTGTGTTCTGTATGAGAAAAATCAACATTTCAATTTCCATTTTAAACATTGTTAGTGTCACATGATATGTTCCCTCAAAACTGAAATTATTTGTTAATTCCGCTTAAGATCCACCTTAAAAAAACCAGTGAATGACAAGAGTGATGCATTATTTTGCAAACAAAATTAAAATATAAAATCCCTTCAAAACGGTATTTTTGCAGTAAATAACTTCGATCAAAGGATTATTGAATATATATGTGTGAAAGTACTGCGTGCAAAAGTACTAATAATGACACACATCATGTCGTGTTCAGTTTGGAAATCATTATACATTCTTCTTAGGTGCTCATGCAAACTATCTCAAATGAGGTGAAAGGGTCTATTCTTGCCTCAAGCATAAAAAAAGAACATGTAACATTGTAAAAAATAAACAGTAAAAATTGCGATTAAATACAAAGTGTATACAGCAATCAGAGACATCCAAAGAGACTAATTTCAGCAAGTTTAACTGCAAATGTGCAAACATACAGTATTACCATGCAGAACACAGCCTGCAGCAGGTCAGCTGATTGTTTCTCACCGACACGTTTGGTTATAAAGGGAATGTTGTTTCTAATGTAATTGGACAAAAATTTATGCCACAATACAACAAGCTTTAAAAGTGCAAATGCAGCTGAATTCATTTCCCTAAAGTCAAAATAAAAAACAGGATAAAGAGCTGTATATGAAAGATTAAAAAAATAAATGTTTACGTCAGCGAGGCAGTCAATAGATGGCATTTTCCCTTACTTAAAAAAATCCTGCTTTTGATTCAATGCTCCTTATCTTATCTTCCTAAGACTGATCAAAAGTGTCCTTCAGACAGACTAAATATCTTTAAATGTAGTGAACAGCAGTTGAATGTCTGAAATCTTCAGACAGCCTAGACTCCAGACTTATATTATGTAGTAATGATTGGAGCCAAAACAGCAACAGCCCAAATAGCTCTCTGTGTTTTGTCTACAGGTAAATCCTGGCTTGTGTCCTGGCAGCTGTTAGTATACAAACCATCTTTCTTAAAAAGATTACCAAAGAGGTAAATGGTCGAAGCAGCATGTAAAAGCATTTTACGTCTATCCACGTATTCAAAAAAGTTAAGACATTAAAAGAAATTATTGGCAATTAATATAAAGTAGTCATTAATAGAGTTTGAGCTAGTAAGCCACTGGATCCTGAGTTCCTTTGTTGTGAATTTAAACCTGAAACTTACTACAGTGTATTACAATTAGGGCTGCAACTAACCATCATTATCACTTAAGCTGCCGATTATTTACTTAATTAAATTTGTTCTAAAATCACAATTTCCCAGAGTCAAAAGTGGTCTGATTTGTCGGATATTTCTATCATATTCGATGAAGAGAGGCAGCAAATCCTCAGATTTAAGAAGCTGAAACCAGAATTTATTTTGGCATTTTCTTCTTGGCACAAAAAATATATTTTTGATTAATTTTTTTCTTTCGATCAACTATTTGATTAATCAGCTGCTATTTGGAGCTCTAATTACAGCTCTGAATGTTACTGTTGGCCTTTTTTTTCCAAGAACATAAATATCAGAAGTGTGTAAACTGCAAATAAAAAGAGCTTCTTAATTACGCCAAATGATCAATAATTCAATTTTTCCCAGTAGTAGATAAAACAGATGAATTAAGACACAACACAAGCGTCTGGGTTTTTGGGGTCTGGGGTCTTGCCGTCAGTCACCTGGCAGTTGTTGGTCAAACTTTTCTCTTTCTCTGAATCATGCGGCAACTCCAAAGGATCTGCTCCACCCGGAAACATCCTTTCCTGCTCTGGAGTATCTGCAGACGCATCCTCGTAGGCACTTATGCTGTCTGAGTCGTTCCTCTCTGGAGAAGGATCTCGTCCCTCCTCAACACCGTTTTCGCAAGGCCTCAGCAGGACCCCGTCTCCAGAGATGGGGTTGTCCAGGGCGAGAGAGGGCAGTTGGATCAGGGGCTTACTGACCATCTTCCGCAGCTTCGTCAGGATGCTTCCTTCATCCCCCGCCTCCTCACTCTGTCCCACTTCCTCTGACGCTCTACCTTGGCTTTCACACAGCGACAAGTCTTTGTCCTCTCTGTGTGCGGCTGTCATCAATTCTTGGTGTTCTTGTCTCGTTATCTCATCCACACTTCCGTGTGTGCTCGCTGGAGCGGACGGTTTGTTATTCCTCTCCTGCAGAGAGAAATGTAATTGTCAATAAGAAAATTAACATTAAACAAACTATAGTTGCTTAGTTATTTTGTTATTATTTTGTTTAAAGTAGCCAGATTTGTGAATGTAAAGCCATCTCTACCAATACGGAAGCAAAAACAAGCCATGAGAATGTTTGTTTATAAGCAACTGAATAGATGATTTTGAAATTGAATCACTAATAAATACTTAATGTTGAACATTAAACATCGCTCAATTTATGATACTGCAATATTTATTATGTGTCAATTCCCCTCATTGACTGATAGAACTTAACCGACAGAACAAAGATTGATTGATTCAAGAAAAGTTCAAGTTTGAATATTGGTATTTTGGAATTTCACCCATCAAATTTAAACTTTTTTTTTTACATTTTCATTTATTAATCATTCGTTCATTCATTTATTAATCATTAAATTTCATACTTTGAAGCTTTGAAGTGCTTATGAATTTAAAATCCATATGGCTTTTCTTTACCTCCATACTACTTCTGTGATGCAAGATTTATAAATGCAGAATGAACTGCTTTGAGTTTATCTCAAAAAATAACATTAGACATTATTTCCCAGGGAATACGCCATCAAACATCTCATTTCACAGTAAATATCATTCGTTTATGTGCAAATTCAATACTGTATGTCCCTTATTTACAATGAACAAACTAAAAATACACCATGAGGAACTGAGTGTAACATTACAGTACATTATGTACGGCCATAGCAAGTAATATAGTTACTTATTAGAATAACTCGGCAGAGAAACAATAGCTTAGATATCAAGGAAAACAAATCACGCACCATCTCCATTATTCACATTCAATAAGACGTGATCACACTCCTGACAAACCGTTATATCACAGGCTTTATGTCACATTAATTCAAAAACCTGGTGCTTCTCTAAGAGTGTGTAATTTTCTCCTTCTAAATGTCACATACCTCTTTTAATCTCTCCACCTCTTGCATCAGAGAGCTGACCATGCTCTCCAGTTTCTTCTTGGCCTCCCTCTCTCGTTCCAGCTCCTACAAATGCAGAAGCGTTAATGAGAGGACCCGGCAGCTTGTTAGCGTCATATTTTATTACGAGGAACAAAAACAAACTTCTCATTAAAATGATGAAGACTAAAACATGTCTAATAGGTGGCTGAAGTGGGGTATTTATGTGGCCTCAACGTACCAAACTAGCCTGTCCAGCTTCCCTCTGGGCCTCAGCCAGCAGCTCCTCTACACCCTCCAGCGTGTCCTGCAGGACGTCCACCTGGAACAACAGAGCCTCTCGCTCGACCTCCAGCCCACGCAGCTCCTGCACCACCTCGTCATAGCTGGCCTGCAGCTCCAGCTACACCACAAACACAGTTACAAATCAGCGTGGGCAACTTTAGAGGAACGCATGCCAGTCAGTGGGTGGGAAGTGTTTAGCAAGCTTTCAGAGGCATCAGTGGGAGGCCTCATCTGGAAGCATGACAACCCCTCAATATGTAAAGCAATATGTATCCCTGCAGTCTATTAGACGTGACAGGACTGTGAACAAGACTTTACATTGTAACAGCGTCATAATTAGAAGAAGCAGCAGCTCACCATTTCTGGGAGTCCCATGAAGAGGTCCTGGTCAGATTGCTGAAAAGAAACAAAAAACATTAACAATTATAGCATTAAATATTACCATAGAGTTAGTTCACAAAATAAATACATCATTATGTTAGTAAGTGAACTGAAGGAGTCCATTGTGTTTAGACAGGGTCAGATAGGATTGTTAGCTGTGGCAGCAGAACCTATAATCTGTCTGAAGAGCACCAACACTTCACCTGGTTGACCCTTTGTTTTTACTTTATTTTCCTCTTAATCTTCTAGCGTCACCAACTCTGACGAGTCTCAGACTTTGTACACTGAAATCTCAGCTTATCTAAATACTGTAATATAGAGGCACCGTGTTCGAAACAGCTCTCAAAACACAATATGTGATTAAGTACGATAGAAACATTTGCGGTGTCAATATAGCCGACATTCGTAGGTCATATTCTATCAGATAATAGAAAACGAATGGGTCATAGGATTTAGTTTAACACTGGCTTATGAAGATTTATTTGCATCAGACTCGTTGCCTTTTTAACCTCTGTAGTGTCAAATTCACACAACACAACAGAAATTAGTGCCTGACAGAGATAGCATTATGTTTTCAAAGAAACACAGCTTTTGATTCAACATGCTGACAGGAACACACTTTTTTCCCCAACAAGTTGATTAAATGTAAGTTTGGATTTTCTGTAAATAAACTTTGTGACATAAGACACCAAACACACAATATAGATATACAGCTGTATCTCAAGTTCATGTTTCTCAAGTGCAGCGGTGGAAGCTGTATCAATACAACAATCTGAAAATACTCACTTTAACACAAGTTAATGTTCAAATTTGTCCCCATATAACTGATATATTATTATATGTGACATTTTTATGACTAGTGGTCCCTCCAAAAGGACCAGATGATAAATCTGAGGGGCTAAAATGACTAATGAGTTCTCTTATGTTTGCTTTTTGTGAAATATTGGATAATGTGATCTCCTTAGAGTCAAACAGTTATTCAAACAAACATCTAAACCATAACAAAGGCCCCAGCTAGAGAGTGCTGTTTGGTAAGGAGAGACACAAAGAAATAGAGATTAGGAATCACTGTTTATTATGTAACAACATGATAAGCCTATTATTAGAGCTGCACAATTAATCAAAATATTACTGAAATATGAGCAAGTGCAATATGCAAATCACAGAAACTGTCATTTTATGACAAAACAGTAACCTAACGTATTATTATAAAACTACTGTAGTTCTGAAGAGATGCTCTGATCTCCAGATTTAATAAAACATGTTTGTTTGGTACAGACCACAGTAAAACAGTCACATCATCATGATTCTTATATTTGTTTTCAATGAAGATATAAATGTATGATGTAAGAATCACAAACCATATCGCAACATCTGTGAATAACAACCACAATATGATGTTTTAACCATATCGTGCAGCCCTACTTATTATTACTTTATGCACAATCCTAATCTGACTATAGCTGCCAATTAAATGTTAGTTATCGGGGTAAAACGTACAACATTTACTTCTGAAAAGCGGTGGAGTAGGAGAAGAAATCAGTGCTTTAGTATTACTGCTCCTGTGTTATCATTACATGGCAATGATACTGGCCCATGAGACAAACAATCTGGAGACACTCAGGTGAGATTAAGCCAGATGTTTGGCTCCTGGCTCCTACCTGACTGTCACTCCTCTTCTTCAGGGTGCCTGCTCGGCTGTCGCTTCGTGTCAGACGCCTGGACGAGGTCTCGGTCTAATAAGGAGAAACACACACACACACACACACACACACACACACACACACACACACACACACACACACACACACACACACACACACACACACAGAGAGAGAGAGAGAGAGAGATCAGGTGGAGCCTCTCATCGTCACACAGTCGGAGCACAAACACAACAAGCTAGCTAAGAATAAATAAAAAGGGGAAGTGAGGTGAAGCTCCGGGGCCTGACAGAGAAACACACAGCTCCTGATCAATCTGTAACCGGTAACAAAATGGCTGAACACCCCCAACCGCCAACATTTTATGTTATTTTAGTGTCTTTAAAAGCCCTGACGTTAGCTGTAGCTGTAGCTTTAACCCGTCAGTAAGGAGTCAGTGTTTCTTCCTCACCTCTTTAATAATGCTGCGGAGAGACTCGTCCTCGCTCAGTCCTCGAGATAACGTCCGTTTCCTCGGCGACCCGTCCACACTGACTGAATGCATGTTAGTTTCTTCTTTTAATGTTTTATATTAACTTTTTTACGTAACAGACACCTCCGAGCTCCCTGGGTGAAGTGGTGTTTGGTTGCCTACGCAGAAACTCACTGTGAACTGCCGACGCCCAGGCCGTGATCTACGGAAAGCCGCGGGGACCAAACTGTCTTTTTAACACCGCCCGCCCTCACTCCCTCACTCCGCCCACACTCACAGAGGAGGCAAAGATCAGCCCTTCGCGGTCACTTCTGAAAACCGTGGAGAGTTATAAATAAATGAGTTCGTGTTTGTTTTGTAGTTCAGATCATGATGAAACAGGACCAGCAGTACCTTCAGGTGAGCTCAATGTGTGTAATGTGTGGACACATTCAGGAGAAAACTATTTACTGCACTTCATTGCAAAATACAATCACATTATAATCTCTCAAAAATGTGTGTGTGTGTGTGTGTGTGTGTGTGCAGAATTATTTCCTATTTGATGTATTTATGGACAATATGACAATGTGACAACTGGGGTTTCATCATAAAGAACAAACAGATACAAAATGTTTTTATATTAACTGTTTTATTAAGGGTTAGAACTTTTACACAGATACATTAAGCAACTGTTCTTGAAAGTGACTATAATTTAATTGTCAACTTATTACAAAAATAAGTTTGAACTTTATTAAACACAATATTAAATGGTCCATAATGTACATCGTCTCTAGCACATCCTTCTTTATTTCTAACCCTAACATCAAGGTGGATACAACTGTCAGTTTAATCGAGTTTAATCATATGATGATGTCTCTCTTTCTTCCATAGCATCACTCCCAGAACCAATGAGACTGCTGAAACACTATCTGACTTTATTGATAATCATAAAAGCCCTGCATCAGAGGGATTGATCGAGACTGTGGGGAGTATTTGGTCCCATATGCATACATCCACAGAGACAGACTTCCATCAGGGCTTTAATACAGATCTACAGTGAGTATGTGCATCAAAAGCTCAGAGCAACACTCATCATAATGATACAGTCTGATATAGTTTGATTTAGGGTTCATATGTAAGCACATGAGCACCTGTAAATAACAAAGCAGTGTCTGCGTCTGTTCAGCAGACGCACAGTATTTGATTCTTCAAAGCAAATTGAGACAAAATTGGTAACTTTCTTTTTCCTCTAAATTCATAAACATAATACACAAAAACATGAAGTTCTCTGAGCTGTGTCTGGACTTCCTGCCTGCAGCTACAATGTGTCACATAAAGCAAGAGTTCAACATGTTGGGACATAAACATATTCACTTCCTTACTAAGAGTTAGATAAGAAGACAGAGACCACTCTCATGTCCACTCACTAAATACAAAGCTACAGCCACCTGCTGGTTAGCTTAGCATAAAGACTGGAAACAAAGGGAAACAGCTAGCCTGGATCAGTCTTAGAGTAACAAAATCTTCCTCTAAAACTCTTTGGATATCTTTGTAGAGAACCCTGCTAGCCGTTTCTCCCTGTTTCCAGTCTTTATGCTAAGCTAAGCTAACTGTTGTCTGGCTCCGGCCATATTTAACAGACAGACATGAAAGTCGTATTGATCCTCTCACCTAACTCTCAGCAAGAGAGTATTAAACTATTAAAGTGGTTGGTGCTGCTTACACTGGCCTCCAGTAATGATAATGACTGCTGTGCTCAACATTGTTATTTTTAGTATGTGATATGTACATTTTTATTTATATTTATATCAGTAGTTTGAGCTTCAATACTTAAGTTTGGTGCATTGGACAGAGGTTGTTGCAGTTGCAAATGTGAATTGATTGTTGTTGTTTAATAACAAACACCCAGAGGGCTCCGTCCTACAATTAAGTGCCACAATCTTACCTGGAAAAGGAGTAAAAGAAACAGCACACATAAAAACTAATAACAGGATCTGTTGTGCAGCTGTGTTTTCCTCCAGCAGATGACACTAGTGGGTCAGTGATGAGTTCACTGAGAGCAGCCAACTCATTGTTTGTACATGAAGAAATCTGTTCCAGAAATATCACAACTTTTATTAATCACACAGTTATAAATACAGTAACTGTTCATGGTTTGTAGGTAAACTACATTTCGATCAGACGTTTTTAAAGATACTGTGGGTGTGTAGATTAAATGTGACACACAGAAGACTTAAAATGTATACAATGAACATGTGTGTGTTTTATAAAGCTTTACTAACTACACTAATTAGTATAAATTAAATATAAAGTAGGTCTATGTACATTATAAAGTCTTTATACACATTAATAGAGATTATGTAGACCTTCTGCTACTGCATGACTTCAATCAATCTGTCAATATAGGTTATAAAACATCATTATTTTATTATTACCATAGGATGCAACCTTTGTAAAACAACATTTGTGCATTTAGGAGCATATGATTTTAAATTTAAAGGTCAGTTTTTACTTTACTGGTTCACACAGACACTTTGGCTCAGTTTGCATCGGGCAAGCTCGAGAAACTTCTAAATAATCTGCATCTAACAGCTGGTGTGTCTTCATTCCTCATTAGTGTGTATCTTGTTTAAAATGCACCATAGATATTTAGATGTGTGTGATTTCAGGAGATGATGGAGCACTCGGGATGAATCCATGAAGGTTTTTTTGTATGTTTTTTTCCAGTTTTACACCATAATAAACCATTTATAACAACAGGCGCGGCGAGCCATAGTTTATGTCATCATCATAATAACCTAATTGGACTATATCTTTAATGTGAGACATTGTTTGTGCACTGTAAAAACATTTATACTCTCATAACAGTGCGCGCACCCTCCCTTCGCTCTGTCCCTCTTGACTTGGTGACAGACCTAAAAGCCTTTTGTTGCAATCTTAGCCAATGGAGACGGATTACGACACCGGGCAGCTGAGATATATAAAGAGCCCCTTTTTGACCGCACTTGCACATTTTTCAGTGACACTTCTGAACGTTCACACACCTCCATGGACTTAATTGTACAGAAGACCCCAAAACAACCATTATACTACATGTGAGCGGACTATGCATTCATCAGACAGATAATTTGTTCACTTTCAATCAAAACAGCCCGCACCGAGACACACTGGAACGTACTTTTTCTTTTTTGTATTTATTGCAAAATCTCCTGCTGCAAAAAAAAGAGGCAACTTCGGGGTGATCGTATTGGATTAGACGCATGTCACTGATTCCCTGCCTTTTGTAGGATAAGGCAAGGAGCGGCGCACATCCAAGAGAGGGGATATAACGGGATAACGCGAGTCAAAGGACAAGAAAAAGAAAGAAAAAAAGTTGCATTGCCTTGTGTCCACGTATCGTCATGCCGAGGTACAACTTCTTACTGTGCTTGATGGTGCTCATCTCCCTGGGACAGTCGGGGAGCGATGAGCCCAATCTGCTGCTGCCTTCTGCCAGCGAGACGCCCACGGATGCCGGGCTGTCCCTGCTGGACGAGGACGCCGGTTCCCACGAGTGCTCCGCCTGTGTTTGGAGGGAGCAGAGCAAAGTGCTGAGACTGGAGACCATCAAGTCCCAGATCCTGAGCAAGCTGCGTCTGAAGCAGGCTCCCAACATCAGCCGGGAGGTGGTCAATCAGCTGCTGCCCAAGGCGCCTCCGCTCCAGCAGCTCCTGGACCATCACGACTTCCAGGGAGACGCGTCGTCCCAGGATGAGTTTATGGAGGAGGATGAGTACCACGCCACAACGGAGTCCGTGATCACCATGGCCTCTGAGCGTGAGTAATAGTTTACAACCCAACAATATTGTCTCCAAATGCGTCATGCGCGTAATTGCGGAGCAGATAGGTTCAAGTGATTCAGGCCTGCTGCGAGGACAGTGGAGCCGCTGAGGCTCATTCAAGTCAGTGACCTAACCTACTTTCTTTTCTTTTTTTTTTGTTGAGAGAGAGATTCAGATTGTGGGTCCACTCTGTGTGTATGAAGCGAACTGATAAAAATTAGACAAATGTCTCTGGTCAGCTGTCGGCCACGGCTGTCAAAATAGGCTAGGGATTAGGCATGAACGTGATAAATCAATAATCAGCAGCATAAAGGGCCTTGTCACTCTGGGACAGACAACTCCAATATGGCCTGATGAACTTTTGTTTTCATTGTAATGATGATGATGATGATGATGATGATGATGATGATGGAGGGCTGAGTCCTGCTGGAGCAGTGTCTAATGTTTAGCTGCTGAACTCCTCAGTCCACCTGCTGTCATGTCCACACTTTCCCCCTTTCTGATGATTTTGTGTGTGTGTGTGTGTGTGTGTGTGTGTGTGTGTGTGTGTGTGTGTGTGTGTGTGTGTGTGTGTGTGTGTGTGTGTTTGACAAGAACTATACGCATGACAGACCCGTGTGAATGTCAAGTGCATTATTAATGATAATGCAGCATTTGGTAGGCACTCGCATCACTTTATGTCTTTTTTTCCTTTTTTTTTTTTGCATAAAGGCCCCTGAAATCTGGAGTTATGATCACGTAGTGAGGCCCTCTGATTATTGGCCCCCTAACAATTTGCTCGCCCTCTTATAGTTTCCCATAAATCCACAGATAAACCGCAGGCAGGCCCCTTGGAGACATTTTATAAAATTACTGTTGAACCCTGGCAGCTGTGCTCTATCGGTCTTTTATAGGAGGCTCTACCGGTTTCCCTGCTGTTCATCGCAGTGAGAAAAAGTGTGTCCAAAAAGCTGCTATTGTTCCCCTCATGCAGCGGCCCCCCTCGGCCGCACTTGCCTTTTAAATGCGAAGTTTATGGGCGCAGCTCGTTTTTTTTTCACCACGAGTACACAAAGACAGAGAATCACTTAGGGTCGAGGGGAGTGTGTGACCTTTTCCTGGCGAATCGCGGGGTTCAACAACATTTACACACGTAATATATTCTGCACAAGGCAGATAAAACACACTCCAAATAATCAGGGTTTTTTTTTTTTTACTCCACCAGTGAACAAAGATATGCCTGTGTGCAGGAGACTTTGGACTTATGTGTTGTCTGACATTATTAATTAATCATTATAATATCTATCTATCTATCTATCTATCTATCTATCTATCTATCTATCTATCTACCTATCTATCTATATATATATATATATATATATATCTGTGTCTGGGATTTGCATGTTAAAAGAGCCTCAGTTTCTTTTCTCTCATCATTTGTTTTTTTTTAAATAATTTTAAATAAACTGGTTGAGGTATATTTTAATATCTTGTAATAACACTTCTTTGCCTGTCCTCACAGTCCCACCTGTCTCTGTGATTATAGCAAATCAACCTTCACTTATATATAACTGCAGACTCAAATATCATCTGAATTCTTATCTCTATCCCTCCTTTTCCACCACTCTTCATTTGTCCATTTGTTATTGTTGTTTTTTAATTTCCTCTTGCAAATATATCTTCTAATATCTCTGGTGTAAGTGATTCAGGGGAACAGCTGATGTCTTATATCTTACAGGTGAATTAAGGAGGCATCATAAAGCATTTGGCAGCTTTTTTTAGGACATTTCCTCTAATAATCAATATGTTGGTGCTTTAAGCTCTAATGCTGATCCTTGTCTTCAATGTCTATCGATCTATCGCCCTGTATTTGTATCACTTGCTCACAAACACACATAGGATGTATGTGATACATGCTGACAATGAAGCTTCCCTATAATAGCTTGCTGTTATCTCTCTGATGTGCAGAGATCAGTCCTATGTTGCATTTTTCCCTCTCCGCCTGTAAATACAGACAATTTGAAACAAGGGAAATCAACAACATCCTCAAACTATATTTTTGACTCTTTGCTTCCCATCGTGTGCACAGCCACACTCACACACACACATACACATATACACAACACAACACACCATGCAAAGTGATCTGATACCTTCTCAAGCCAGAAAAAAGGCATTATGCATGACGCTGACTTAATTGCGTATTTCTAACAGCTTCATACCAGCCAGAGCAGCTAATGACTGACATTACCGCTGTATCTGTCATGTTACAGCACTTCCTCTCTCTCATCTCTTCACGTCAGCTGCAGTTTTTATCATCTGCTCCCACCCCTCACCCCATCCCTCCACCCCCTCCAAACCCCCACCTTCCTCCCCGTTAGCCCCCTCTCTCCTTCCTCCTCTTTTCTCCGGTACTCATGGAAGAGTTGAGAGAATGAGTGCATCTCTTTTGCCTGTGGCGCCTTAGTGATCCACAGGATTAAAAGTGCCTTTTCTGTCTCTCTGATAGAAGGAGGACTTCAAACACTATTCCCTGCGCACCTCAAACCCAATCACCCTTTTCACGGTCGTGCACACTGCCTTTGATGGACCATGTGGGTTCACACAGTACATACTGAACTGGACCCGTGCCAGTGTTGCTTCTTAGTATTCACTCAAGGTACGTGGGTGCCGCAGTGGGGGTTGAGAGGGTCCATGCTTCGTGGTCTCTAATTACTATGAAATTTCATGGAAAAGTACAGCTATTTATATCATAGTGCGGCACTAAAGCATCTCCCTCCATACAGCGTGTTGTGTAGGTAACCACTCCACTCGCTGTTCCTGCAGAAAGAAATGACTCAGTTTGGAGTAGGTTATCAGGGTCATTTTCTAGTGCAGCATCGTGAATGAGCGATGATTTTTATCAACAAATCTATTTGCATTCACATATGAGCTGAACTGTTTTATATATTGATTGATTTGCGTGTGTAATCGAGCATGAGTGTTTAAAGCGTGTATTTTGGAGCTCAGTTTGTTTTGCCTGAGGTGGGGTGAGGATTTGACCCCACTAGTCTCCCATTTGTCACCTGTCCAAGACATTTAGACCAGACCTTCCTCTGCCATCACTGACCTTCTCCTCCTTTCTTTCTCTGTCTCTCTATGGATGTATTGATGCTGATTAACAACTGCACACAAGTTGAATTGAGTTCTCCAGCAATATTAAGTACTAAGAAAAAAAAACAAAATCTGCCAGAGCACATTTTTCGTCATGAAAAAAGCTTTAAAGAGAAGTGACACATCTGTGGACTAAGAATACTAATGCTTATATCATCTGTTGTTGCACAATAAGTTGATTTAGGTCGTTTTAAAAGCTTATTATATTCTTGATCGTCTTTGCCCTTGAATAAACTTATTTATTTGACATTTTGAGTGATTTTGATATTGACCAGTAGCGGAGAATCCAGCAGAGAGCACTTACCCTCCCTCCAAACTTTTATTCTATGTTTATAATTTGACATTGTCATCTGTCCAAAACAAAGAAAATCTGTGGCTATCTGCAAGGAAAAACTCACGTTTGAAATATCTCTAATGACCACTCAGCTTTTCTTGAAACATCGCACTCTTGTTAAACCATTTTATACCCATTTTTCGTCCTGTCCATCATGATTGTGTGTAGGCTAACATTAGGAAGTGCTATACTGGTATTATTATGTAATCCTGTTAAGATGAGGCACATTCAGTTCAGGCACAGGCTTACACAACTTTTGAGTACATAAAAATGAACAGCTACACACATGTATACAGATCTATACAAATTTCCACATGTGTAGACACATAAGGATTCTCTCTCTCTCTCTCTCTCTCTCTCTCTCTCTCTCTCTCTCTCACACACACACACACACACACACACACACACACACACACACACACACACACACACACACACACACAGTCACACACACACTCCAGAGAAAAGTTCTCCTATTGACAAAAAGGGTCACAGAGTTCACAGCTATGTGATATATTGGAAGAGGAGACTATTAACCTCATCGGGTCTCTTTCTTTGGCAGCAAAGACGAACCGGTAGTAACTTGAACACTTATCCCCCACCACACACACACACACACGCTCACACACACACTCATCCACTAACCACTCCCACAAAAAAACAAGTCTTTTATAGTGTTGACCCTATAAAAGGGTCATTTCCTGAAGGTGCAGGAACCATAAAAATTAAGAGGGAGAGCGCTAAAAGGACAGAGCAGCAGAAGTCGGACTGTCTTCAACTCACTGGCCAGTGTTTGCTGGAAGTTGATGACTATGTGAGGTTTTTATAGATTTATTTATTCCATGGAGGTCTCAGTTTGACGATGACACCTGTTCTCCCTGTGTAGTTGCTGGCATCAGTTGAGGGAAAGATAAACTTTGGTGTTGAATTGTTTGGACGCCGGGGGGCATGGCCAGTTTGTTTAAAAAGAAGTAAAAACGTAAGAAAGAAAGGTCTGTAGGACTGTAGAAATTGCACAACATACTGTCAACTTTATGGCTAATAAAATTTCAAAGGGACCAAAGTCTATTAATACAGGGACAAAATTTCCCCAGGACCTCAGGAATCTCACTCCTTCCACCCTCCTTCCCCTATTCCCACGCTCCCGTGTACCAGTCCCTGCAGCCGGTCTTTTCTCTTGGCATTTGGGAATATGTTGCTTTGGAATTTAATGCATGCTTTACCAAAAATATGACACTGAAGAATTGGAAGAGTGGGTGCGTTAATGTCAGTTTGGAGGCACGGCTCCTCCTTTTCATCTACATATTAAAAGAAAAAGACGATCTCTGCTTTCACTGCTTGTGGTGAGCTGTGGTGAGCACCACGTTGCTTCTTTAAAGGATTTCAAAGAGTGTGATTGAGTTAGGTGCACCGTGGCTCATGCTGTGGGTATGGGGGGGGGGTCCGCAGGGAGCAACAAGCAGCCCAGTCCTATCCTAAAGGGACAGAAATCATGGAAGGGTTTTATAGGTACAATTAAAAAGACCTGA